AGAAAGTTCGAAATGCAGATTTTTCGAGAGTTATGTATAAAATAATAAAGAGTGAAAGTTTTATAAAACTAGACTGGAAAACTTAATGTGACAAAATAAAGAATTGTAAAAAAAATATACAAAATTTATCCCTAGTTAATTTTTAATAGGAATAATTTCTTGTTTGAACTGGAAAATTGAGTACAAGACGACAGAGTTTTATCACAGAAGGAAAAGAAATAAAAAATTATGAGAAAGTTCGAAATGCAGATTTTTCGAGAGTTATGTATAAAATAATAAAGAGTGAAAGTTTTATAAAACTAGACTGGAAAACTTAATGTGACAAAATAAAGAATTGTAAAAAAAATATACAAAATTTATCCCTAGTTAATTTTTAATAGGAATAATTTCTTGTTTGAACTGGAAAATTGAGTACAAGACGACAGAGTTTTATCACAGAAGGAAAAGAAATAAAAAATTATGAGAAAGTTCGAAATGCAGATTTTTCGAGAGTTATGTATAAAATAATAAAGAGTGAAAGTTTTATAAAACCAGACTGGAAAACTTAATGTGACAAAATAAAGAATTGTAAAAAAATATACAAAATTTATCCCTAGTTAATTTTTAATAGGAATAATTTCTTGTTTGAACTGGAAAATTGAGTACAAGACGACAGAGTTTTATCACAGAAGGAAAAGAAATAAAAAATTATGAGAAAGTTCGAAATGCAGATTTTTCGAGAGTTATGTATAAAATAATAAAGAGTGAAAGTTTTATAAAACCAGACTGGAAAACTTAATGTGACAAAATAAAGAATTGTAAAAAAATATACAAAATTTATCCCTAGTTAATTTTTAATAGGAATAATTTCTTGTTTGAACTGGAAAATTGAGTACAAGACGACAGAGTTTTATCACAGAAGGAAAAGAAATAAAAAATTATGAGAAAGTTCGAAATGCAGATTTTTCGAGAGTTATGTATAAAATAATAAAGAGTGAAAGTTTTATAAAACTAGACTGGAAAACTTAATGTGACAAAATAAAGAATTGTAAAAAAAATATACAAAATTTATCCCTAGTTAATTTTTAATAGGAATAATTTCTTGTTTGAACTGGAAAATTGAGTACAAGACGACAGAGTTTTATCACAGAAGGAAAAGAAATAAAAAATTATGAGAAAGTTCGAAATGCAGATTTTTCGAGAGTTATGTATAAAATAATAAAGAGTGAAAGTTTTATAAAACTAGACTGGAAAATTTAACGTGACAAAATAAAGAATTGTAAAAAAAATATACAAAATTTATCCCTAGTTAATTTTTTATTTTTAATTCTTCTAATTTTCATCTGGCATTCGAAAACCAATGACTACAGTGCTTATGTATACACCCAGAACTTTTAATACATTCTCTACCGTATCATTTAACTTTCTTCATTGAAATTTGATATCTTTAGGTTCCTCAATTTTTATCTTTTCATTTGATAAAATAAAGAAAAGAATAACAATGAAAAGAAAAGAAGAAGAAAGAAATTAAATGATATTTCCCTTGTCAAGAGTTCATTTAACTCTAGAACTACGAAACGATGAAACTTGTGTCTAAGAGATCAAATCAGAGATAGAAGAAAGTTTCCAGTACAATAAATATAATACCAGGCTTTAATTTTAAAAAATAATGCACTACTGTGAACGTCCAAAATTTCTACGAAAAAATTACAAATCGATCGTTAAAAGTGTAACGATCGAAGTCTTTCTACGATCAATTTGCCAACAGATCGCGGCCACGCGTTTTCCTCCAATCTACGCGACACCCAAATCAGTTTCAAACGAAAGCGAGGAGGAACGAACGCGAGAGGCCGAGTTCGGACCTGCCCGAAAAAGTTAACCTACTTTTCTAAAGTCTGAATGGATGCTCCAGGCGAAACGTGAAGCATTATTTGAGAGAACAGACATGAAAAAAAAAAAAAAAACGTACGTAGGAATCCGCTTAACAAACAGCCGTTATGTCGCTTAATCATCGAGAATTCCCGTTTCATTTATTCAATCTCTGCAGAACTAAAGTAAAGAAAGTATAGTACCAAAGAGGAATATATTAAGTGTAAAAGCAGTGTGCATATATTATTCTCTATTAGTCCAGCTAGTCTATAGTATAAAGTTTGGTTAAAGCATGCAATACTAGATGTAAGGGAAAACTAATAAGAGCAAAACTTGACAATTAAGGGAATTAAAAGGGAAAACAAAATGTATAGAATAATGTAAGGTACTAAGGTCTATTTCTAGGCCGAAAGGCTGAAATAAAGATTTCATTCATTCATTCATTCATTCATTCATTCATTCATTTGTTCAATCTCGTGTCTTCTCGATTGAATAGCGAAATTAGCAACAAAGTCGACGACTTAGACGACAAATGATAAAATGGCCGTAGTCATCGTTGTTCTTAGGAGATTTAACGCTTTCATGAGCTGGATTAATCATTAATTGAATGATTAATTTACGTTTAAAAGTAAAATTTACAATTAATCATTAATTGAATAATTAATTTACATTTAAAAGAAATTATATTTCCAACGTTTCGCTAATATAGATGTTCGAGAATACATTTCGCTAATATAGAAGTGAAGTTAGTAAATCGTTTGGATACCAGTTTATATCCGGGAGATTCAAGTTAGTGATCTCTCTTCCTTTTTGTCTAGTCACCTCTATCCTCCGTATGTTGCAAGAATTTCTAACGTCTATGCTCTTTTTATGATTCAGCTGTTGCAACTGGATCACAGAATTTACCACGGATAACTGTTAAATTGGAAAGTGTTGCAGTTCGATCATTTTGTTTCAGCTTGTGGATATATATACATTGACTATATCATTGGACAATCTAATAAATGCTCCTTCGTCGCGTAACGTAGTTTCAAACGGTGGAAGTTTAATGGAAATCAGAATAGAAACTGGACGGAGGGGGCTAAAGAATTGCAAAAGTTATATTATATATTATAATATAAAGATATATTATATATATCTTTATATTATATAGAAATAATATAATATTCTATAATATAGAAATAATATAATATATAATATATCTTTATATTTTAAATATATTATAAATATATTTCTTTATTCTATATATTATAAATATTATAATATATTAATTATAATTAAATTTCTATAATTTATATTATAGAAAATAACTCGTCGTCAATCGATTGTCTTCCTTTTTCTTTCATTTGGAACAAACACGTTGCTAGAGCAAATTAGAAAACCAAACGAGATACACATAATGTGGAAAAAATATCCGAAGCATACGCTTTCTGTAAAATTCTATTTAACTTATTAACTTTCGCTTTATATTTTATGTCCACTGTGACAAAGCTAAATTAAAACTGAAAATTAATCAAATTAAACTAAACTAAATCAAACCAAAATTATATTTTCGAAACTACGAGGGAGACTTTGTAATGTGAGTAATACAAAAAGTTCGTGATAAAACAGTTAACAAATAAAAAAGTCATTCATACCTGTGTGTATGTGCGTGTGTTTCTTATTGACCTATGAAACGCACATTGTACGTTTCTAAGACGCAAGAGGCGCGTTAAAAGAGAAAATGGGACAATGACGCGGTGAAACTGACAAATATGAAATATATCGTTCAAAACCTTCGATGACCTAACGCGTGATTTAATTCTTACGATGTTGTTTGTTCAGTATGTTCACGTCAAAGAAAAAAGAAATTCATCGATACGATCGTATGATATGCTGAACTCGATTCTTTTTGTCCCTGTCCACTCAAGATACTGACACTGTTACGAGGAATCACGGTCAAAATACGCTTTTGCAAAATCTTTGTCCCTACTTCTCCTGCAATTCTAAACGTCTTATTGACTCAATTCGTCGCGACTGTGTTAGAAAAGCCTCGGCTCAACACACTTACAATTGGTTTCGCTCGTAAAGATTCTCCAAATAGTAGTCTGCCATTTTCTTTCTCCTTCTAAATTAACATTTCGCGAAGTTGGAGGCATCGATGCTAATAACAAGCTGATAAAATGAACCTGAATTGAAAATATACGTTCGTACGTGCACGTAAGTCGCCGTTCGTTCTACTTCCAATTTCATTACCTCCGCGAAGAGAACGTACACGGATGTGAGGCGAAGAAGTATTTCGCTGAGAAGCGCAAAAAATGCTTGGAAATTGTTATGCCAATCGTTTCTTTCAAGGGTAAACATTGATGAACCAAGGCGACGAACAAAGTGGTTATAATTATGCGAGAGCCGGCGATAATTGTCGGTTTAACGAAAGACAAACTCGACTAAAAGATCGAAAAATCCGCTAATGTTTCGAGCTATTTCGACGAGACGAGCGAAGTTCACAGGGTTCTCGATTCAAATATTGAACTAGCATCGAAATAGTTTTCGCTGCACGTCGCGCAATTGCATCACTGTCTACGAAAAGTTCAACAGGGGAGATAGGTTTTCTCACAGACGATGCCTATCTCCCCGTTTTCGCGATAGCTTTTCAATCCACGTCTCTTTATTCCGGCCAAACAACTCGTTCGTCGAATTCTCAAACAGCCGTTTGCCCAAACGAACGAACATCTCCGCTTCTACGACCTTTACTTTTCGTCGAAGCCGTTTCGCGAGCCAGTCTCTTTGTCGCGGATCGTTTGCGAATTTTATGCGAGCATTGCGACAGTTCGGTGGTCGTTGCAGGGATGTAACGTTAGCGAAATCCATTCTGCTGACTATAAGTATCACGAACAGCTGGCGATACGCGCGATATTTAGTACAGACTGCTTTGGGCCTGGTGCAATTCTGTAATTTTAATCAAGCATCGTTGAACGAGAAAAACTGAGAATTGTCGATATTATAAGTCACAATTTCTTACTGTCATGGAACAACGTGAATTCATAATGTTTCAAACTGACGTTCGACGGAGAAATCACGCGTAACAAGAACTCCTTTGCATTTTCTTTAAACTCGAGGTACTCTTTCAAGATACTTAATTAAAGAAAACGCAACAGAGTTTCAGCGTTCCTTCGGTTACCGTTTCATTCTCCATCGAAAATTGTAACGAGAATAAGCACAAAATGTTACTACATAACCTAGTGATCTCCTTCTTTAAAACCACCAACATAATTCTCAGTATATCTTAGAATCTCGTGTATCTCGCGCAAAACTACGTAAGATGTAACAAAGTTTTTCAACGAACGCCGACGTGGATCAAGTAAACGAAATTCAACCTGATACACGTTCCGCCCGTGACATCGAGAAGTTCGTAGGTCAAAGTTTTCACTGTCATCTAGCCGAGCAGCAATTCGCTCTAAGCACCCACTTAATAATTCAACGGGGCCGCGTTACGATTTATATAATTACATATTCCACGACCTAGTCTTTCATCCCTTCCTCCTTCGCTAATCTGTCCCCCCATCGAGTCGATTCGTATCTCGATTTTTACAGGGTACCCTCGGTAACGTGGAGGGGCGGACAAAGAAGATGGAGGTTTTGGTACACCTGGTGGCTACATTGCCGGACAGATGACCAGTTTTTGACTGGCGGCTTCTCCATCAACATCTGCTCCTCTCGCGAGAAAGCCAACGCGAGGCGCGCTATTCGTAAGGTTCGCCGGAAGTGACATCGACGCGCCAACAGAAAGCGTTCTCGTGGATTTGTAGGTGACCGTTCCTGTTCCACTTCCTTTCGCCCGCCGAAAACGCGTGAAGTTTGACTTGTTAGTCGAGAGGTTTACGCACGAATGACGTTTGACCGCGAGCGTGACAATTGTTGGTTAAGCCGCGTTACGCGTTCCTAAATTTTCACTCCCGAAAGCTCTCGTTTCCTGTTCAGTCGACTTCCAACGATTCGATTCCCCCGTTTTTCTTCTTTTCCGCTTATCGTTTCCGCAGTTCGTTGGAAAGAAGAGGGAAAGATTCGGAAGCATGTCGAACATAATTCGTCTGGTGGTGAACAACTACAATGAAATCTTGGAGGTCAACAAAGGTAATCGTCATGAACATCGTCGAAAGAGGTAGAGGTTAGGCTTGAAGCGAGATGTTCAGGGGCTCGTTTCTTCCCATACTGTGAATATAGAAGTCTTTCGTTTACTGCGCTCGATTCACTCGAGTCCAGGTGACTTACTTTTTTTTTTTTTTTCATTCGATATTTCAAATCAGCAGCCGATGACGATTAACGCAGATTCAAGATTGACAAAAATTGTTGTCTCGACGTTCCTCGGGTGTGGAAGGAGAAATTATTTTCTTACCTGTCGTTGAAAGGTGGTCGGAAGTGTTTATTTCATTATCGTGATTTTTAGAAATGATGGTAGACTCCTGGCCAATGATGAACTCGCCTGGTCCCATGCTGTGCATCGTTGGAACATACTTGGCGTTCGTTTTGAAAGTTGGGCCGAAAATGATGGAAAAGAGGCCGGCCTTTCAACTGAACAGCCTGCTGATCCTCTACAACGCGGTTCAAGTCCTCTTCAGCATCTGGCTGACGCTTAAAGTAACGCTCAACGAAAGTAATTAACTATTAGACGGCGGGTTTTTACGCAGTTGTGGAAAATTTGCAAGTGCAAGAACGTATATCTATAAAATCTATACAAAAAAGAAAAAAAATCACGTAACATATACTCAAAATATAATATATAGTAAATTTTATGAAATATAAAGTAATAATATATATATAGAAAATTTTATAAAATATAAAATAAAAATATATATAGTAAATTTTATAAAATATATATATATATATATATATATATATATATATAAATAATATAAAATTTTCTATATATATAGAAAATTTTATAAAATATAAAATAAAAATGTATATAAATATATATAAATTTTATAAAATATATATATATAATATATATATAGAAAATTTTATAAAATATAAAATAAAAATATATATAAATATATATAAATTTTATAATATATATATATATAATAGTATAGTAAATTTTATAAAATATAAAATAATAATATATAGTAAATTTTATAAAATATTTATCTTCTAACATTTAATAGGTGAAATAATTTTCTTCGTTCCACTTAAGTTTAATTATCTTCGTAAAAATATAAAACTCCATAAATATCCGCTGTCTATTTCCTTCGAATTATCTTGATATTTAATTTCAGACAATAATTACCCCTCGTTTTTTTAACTTTTAACAGTTCTTCGAACCGGGTGTCGCACCCCTCATATACTCGCCTAAATGCAATGCAAATCGATCACCCTCAGACTTACGAATTCAAGCCACGGTGAGTTAACGAAAAAAACTGGATACATGAAAATCAGTAATAATGCCTGACTTTTTAAATTTGAACATGTTATCACTATTAAGTTTTACGTGAAATAGGTGACAAAAGCTGCCTGGTGGTACTTCGTCGCGAAACTAGTCGAACTTCTTGACACGGTAAGTACAGTATAATTGTACAAACCGATTCTAGATCTATTGGAAAACTTTAACGAATGCATATGATACGCAAAACGTATAAAATGTCCAATGAAAAGTAATATGAACGTAAATCGTAATATAAACTAACGTTTTGTGGAAACTTTGCAAATGTAGAAATAGACAAGTTGCACGTAATGTGCAAGAACATGTGAAATATTTCAACACTGATAGGTAAAGTAATTTTATTTATTTCACCGATTCTGATACTCGTGTGTAGTGGCTGAAACAAGCTTTGATTTAATTACGGTTTATAAATATCCGCAACAATGCGGAGTGTTTAACATTTAATACATGGGATTCTACTTATCGCCAGGAAATAATTCATGTAACATGATTCATTAACATCGCTTATTTATGACTTACACAATGCATCAATTAGCAAGAATTCAATTAACACGTTGACTGCCGCGCGAAATTTACATACATTGCACTTGATGAAATTTAATTTCGAAATTACGAAACATTACGTTACAATGTGCCAAATGCGACAAATGCGCATTGTTTCATTATCTGCTGCCACATGCTTCATTCGCGTTGCTTAAAATTATTTATTTCAGTGTAACTGGCTCAAAATACATATTCATAGAAATAGAAACGCCGGTATTAATCAATTCGATGATTTCATTACCAACAAATGGAACCAACTCATTAGGGGCCATTAGAGTTTCTTTAAATCTCGTAAAATTATTAAAGTATAATAACTGAGAAGAAATGTCAAGTGAATCTTTGCAATTTCTTTACGTTAGTTCCAATAAATATTCGAGTAGTTAAAATTAGAAATTCGTTAACACCAACGTCGTCGAAGCGAACGTAATTTCTCAGCTCTCTCCTTTCGAAGGTGTTCTTCGTTCTACGAAAGAAGCAAAACCAAGTGACTTTCCTGCACGTGTACCACCACACGATAACGTCGATATTCTCGTGGTGCTACTTGAAATTCCTTCCCGGCGAACAAGGTGCTCTGATCGGTTTTTTGAATACCTTCGTGCACATCGTCATGTACTCGTATTATCTGATAGCAGCTCTTGGCCCCGAGTACAAGAAATACTTGTGGTGGAAGAAGTACATGACCTGGATCCAATTGGTAAATATTTTCACCAAACGACGTTACGTTCACGATACTTTCAAACATCCGAAGCTAACCAAATTTCTCTTTCTCGTCTCAGGTGCAGTTCTTCGTGATGCTCGGCTATCAATTGATGATCCTCGTGATGGACTGCAAAGTACCAAAGGCTCTCACGTATTTCTTTATAACAAACGCGATAATCTTCATTTACTTGTTCGGTGATTTTTATCAGAAAGCGTACAAAAAGAAACAAATTTAATGAGCGACGTTACGTCGCTATCAACAATGGGAAAATTGGGCAAACATTTGATCTAAAATTAAAGAAAAAAGAGGAGAAGACAGAAAAGGGAGAAGAAGTTCGTGTCGAATCAGAGCGAGTGAGCCGAATAAAAGAACATGAAAACTGACTCTCATTCAAAATGAAATTCCAGCTTCGAATATCAGATGGCATTTACAAAAAAAAAGACAAGGTAAAAAGTAGAAAATAGAAAAGGCGTGTTCGGGCGAGCAAATTGAAATAAAAAAAAAAAAAAAAAAAAAAAAGAAAAAAAA